GGGGGCGAGTAGTGTGTGTTTGACCTGAAGTGGTCATTTTTGTCTGGCAATTTTTAGTTCTGATTCTCTACAGGTCCTAACAGATGGACCATTTTCAGCATTGACATCAAAGAAGGCTTTAAAGACACTTTTACCACGAAATGAGTTGGTGGTGAGGAAATGTTCAATACAAAGAGCTTTCTGCTGTTTACTAATCTCAACCATGATCTCAATAGGCGAAGGAAACTGAAGAAAAACTATCTGCAAATTTCTGTTGGCCTGTGAGACTACTGTAGCTTGCAATATTGCCCAATCGTTGGGACGTTTAGTGGTAGGCCTAAGGCGAACTTGTGCGCCATGCTACAAAAATGTGGACATTGCTGAAAATGAGTTGTTGTTTTTTACGCCCTACGCAGAGAAAACATTTTCTGTGAATTTATCTCAAATGAATATCAGACAAATTCCTTTTGACTCCAAAATGTCGTGTACAAATTTGAAACAAAAAATGTCGGTTTGGAGGAAAATATTTACACAAAACGTTGTTTAGTTGTTGTTGTTTTTTTATCATCCTGTTATATAATTATGATTAAGTTCCACGACACTGTGGAATCAAACGCTAGTCATTTCTTTGGCATATCTATTCAAGGTTTTATCTTATAGTTTGTTCGTTTGCCTTGCCTTTAATGAAACAAAATACTTGTTAATCTTGAATAAAAATTGGAATATTTTTGATTGAAGAAGATGGAGGTTGTCTGGTTTTAGGGGTAAAATTAGGGAGAAAATGACTCCCAAAGCTTGAGTACGAGGGTCCTTGGAAACTGCAAATTTGCGTAATTTTTTGTGCACTTGATCATCATATTTCAGGAAGATCTACATAGATTCATATCTGTTTTAGTATTGATATAAAGGGTGTTGAGGAAAATAAAATAATAAATAATAAATACCATTTGTATAGCGCATATCCCCGCTCAACAGCAGGCTCTATGCGCTTTACACTATATTATTACCCCAGCAGACCATAGAACACTCCGAAACATTCTCAGATTCCCGGGAGCCTT